GAAAGAGGATATGTGGGATTGATCCACTCCCCATTTGTGTAATGCTTAGTAAACTTCTGTTCATCACACAAATTCCCAGCATTGTATACTTAATTTGGCATTTGCTGCAAAGCGGAAAATCAGCAATGAAATATTAGCCAAAAGCACTGAGAAAACAAATATATGTTGAAAGATCATTTATCATTAGAAATTTTTGCTTTAATTTTAAATCAGGCAGCYGCAAACAGCATTAAGAAAAACTGCTTTGTTTATATAAATTCTGTGCTTGAGCAGCAGGTAACTAAAAGTTCATACTGACAATAAAATAAAGTACAGTTTGTTCATCCCACTGTGCGAAAGCAAAAGTTCCCCTGCAAGAATTGTTATAAATCCTTGAAAATGTTAAAGTGCTCTGACACCAAGAAGTTGTTTTCCTACAAAATGATGTTATTGATACAGTGTTGGGAGAAACCAGCTTTGCTGAAACCTTGCTCCTAAGTCATGCACATCAAGCACAAGTTTGTAATGGTATCAAGACCAGTAGGTTCCCATTTAAATTGTTTTTGCTTCTGATATTGGACAAATCAAGGTGCCTCTTTTAAAGATCTCTGCACAACAGTCCTAGTGGAAACAACATTCCTAAATCCCAACACCCTCAGAAATGCAAAGCTTTTCCACAAAAGGCTAGTGATGCTGGCAGACATCAAGGGTTAAATTGGTTTAAATCACCAAAGTTTGTACTCTAATCTCTGCGCCTGTGACTCGGGCTCAGAGTGAAGTGCCAAACATACATTCCACAGAGGAGCAATAACTTTGCTTATGTTTTAGACTCCTTTCTTTTCTCATCCTAGAGAAGATCAACAAGGGAATGATGGAGAGCAGCTTGGGATTGTCAGAGAAACCTGCATGGCATTGGATGCTCCCATACCACCACTCTGTGGCTTCAGAACAGCAACCCACTTGTGTTGCAGCATCTGCCAACCAACCATTCCCTTGACATCCTCCAGGATATTGAACCGAATTTTGAACTTACAGAGTAACTAACATCTCAGGGCATTTTACCTAAGTGTTTTTCTCYTGTTTCACATGTCCCTTTGTTTTCTTCTCCTTGTATCAACCAGAAAATGAAACTTTTTTTTTTTTTTTAGACAGATTACCATATTGTTCCCTAAAATTTCATTGCTTCTAATTGCTTATTCCCCACTGATAATGAAATTGTTATTAGTTGTTTAGGATGTTTTCCACAGCAACCAATGTAATCTCACAGAACGTTAGGAGTTTGGCTGGAAAATATACACCATAAACTGCAAAACTTACCTGTTAGAAACTAAAGAGACAAGAAAACAAAATATTACATCTGACACAGAAATGTCAAAGCAAAATACATGTCAAAGTGTTTTTTTTCCACAGAWTATAACTGTATTCTTCTTACAATAAACATGCCAATTCAGAACAGAAAGCTTCCAGCTGAGCATCGTGCTCTCAACACCCATAAGTCAGACTGCGTAGCAGATGTTAAATGTGAAATCCATTAAGACCAATTAGATTCTACAGAGAGGGGAAAAAAAAAGAAAAAGAAAAGCAGTAGTAGCATGCAGAGGTATTACACAACAGCACTGAGAGGCAGAGCAGAAGACCTTGCGAGTCCCAATTTTACCCCTTCCTCATGAAGTGACTAGCTAACAGATCTGCTGAGATGCCTGCAGTCACAGGAAGCAATGACTGTGGCACCTGTGGCATCTGCCCTCCTCTTTCCATCTAGAAGGGTCATAAGGCTGTCCTCCACAGCACACCATAAGGTGGCCCATATGCTGAATGGTAATGCAGCAAGAGCTGGAGCCTCCTTCCCAAACTTCACGTGCCTTTACTCTTGCATTAATTGACCTATGTCACCATGACAAATGTTGAGGTGAGAGTTGGGTAGCTCAGAGATCCCCATCAGCAGTCAGGCTCCACATGAGTGTGGCTTGCAGCCAACGTATCACAAAAAAAATGAAAAAAAGTGGTAAGCTCTAATAGAGCCTCCTTTTCAGTACCAACATAAACTGTTGCTCCTTTTATCATCCAGCAACACGGAGGATTTGTAATAGTTACACGGGGCAGATCGAGCACTTTTCAGTGCTCAGTCATGTATGCAAGTTAAATTCCGGCCATGTAGCAATTGCATAGATAAATGAAGCAGTCATTGCATACGAGATAGCTTGCACACCACTGGGGGCAAAGAACCTAATTTTTGATAAGAATTATGCATACTAAAAAGGAATGTCAGTCTCTGTATTTGTCAGGACATGTTGCCAAAGGCTGAAGTATTATTTCCTAGTATGCAGTGTCAAACAACCTCTATTTCTTGAATCAAAATTAGTCTGCAACTACTAATCCATCTCTGAATATTAAGCAATTTATAAATTAAATAGATGCATACATAGTATCCAAGATGCATTKGACCTGCAGCATGCAGAAAGAAAAGGGGCAGATTATACCTAGCAAGGTTAGGGATATATTAGAAAAAGGCTTGCAATCTATTTCACAAAATAAAGATTAAAGGCCACCTTTAGCCTTTGCACATTCCTCAGCAGTTTTCGATGAGATCCCCATTCARCAACTCATGACCTAAGGAAATGGGTGAAAGATACATATCTTAATATATTTTTTCAATCACTTTGCAACTTACTGTTGCTAAAATGTGATTTGACTTTTCCACAAGTCTTCAGGAGCTGTGTGTCTGCTACATAATTACGGACCAACGACTAACAGTTTCTTGCTAAGGATATTCATGCTGTGAATAGCAAATGCCATTGCAGCTACAGGGACTTTTTAGAGCGCAACAGAAAATTAGGAAGGTTTCTTCTTGCCTGGCACCAATTAATTACCAGGTAGCAGCAAAACCAGAATAGCCCACATGAAGTTCTTTTGTCTTGTTATTTTTGCCTGTAGGGCATCGAGCTGGGCTAAACATCCTCTGCAAGAGCTCTGGAAATCCACCACCTCCTAAGAGACACTGTTTTATCTCTGAAGTTCCTGGAGAAATGTGGCTGAGGAATGATTTGAGGAGCACCKGCTCTTCTCCTTGAGTATCAAGCTCTGTCGAGGGGCAGAGAAAGAAATATAACCCTCCTGCTGCCTCACCCCTGGTACGGAGCACTAAGGCAGGCTTCCAAGGAGAGCTGTCCCTCCATGCACTCTCGGGCAGAAGTCAAGCAAAGCTACAGCAAGCATCCAGAGCATGTAATAAATAATAAATAAATAAATGTTGTTTTATCAAAGGTCTCCATCAACTTGACATTTAGTCAACTAAAATAAATAAATAGAGACATTTCAGGCGCTGTGCTTTGCTTCTCTTCCTCTTTCAGTGATTTTTTAAAGTTTTCTCTCAGTCTTGCTGTATTCCCCCCMAAATTTATTTTATTATATGGAAAAACTATGAAATCACATTAATTAAAATGCTGCCAAATGCACAGCTAAGTAAATAAAAGTATGCTTTCCTTTCTTCAGCATACTTTTAGCAGAGCCTTTTTTTTTTCTTTTTTTTGTACTTGTAAGTAAAAAACAAAATAAAAATATCTGGCAAAAATATAAGTTTTCTGCTATCAAATTAAATAATTAACTGTTTTACTTTGCATATCACAGTAAGCCAGAAGATTAAAATCTAAAATCAAAACAAAAATCATAGTGTAAAACAGCCAATGCATCCCTGGCATAATTCCACCTACATCAGTACTATTACACAAGAGATTAATTTGGAACACTGATGTGAATTATAGCACTGYTCTACAGAGCAACTTGATCGAGACACAAAACAAACAAATAAATAAATAAATCAAGCCTTATGAGCACACACAAAYGCACACCATTAAAAAATCTGTTCCTGCTGAAAACCAGAACAAGTCATCTCACGTACTCTTTGATAACAAGGAATTCTTACTATTTCGGAAATCTGCAAGGCCATTTTTCTCAGAAAGGGCATTTAAATAATTATGCCAAATACTTGACAAAGTCCGTGCATGAAAGTGAAACATTCTCCCACAACTCAGTTTTCACATTCCTTAATTAAATGTGACACGCTTGACAGGTTATGCAATTAATCTTCAGAAACGGTTTTATCCTAGTTCTGAAGGGTGTGTTTGAAGCATTCCAGCCTCTCTGGCAAAGGGCGCTCGCCTCCTCCCTAGCAGGCTGCGGTGCAGGCAGCTCCGTTACCCTCTCCGCTGAGCAGGGAGCCGCTCGACTCCTACTCTGTTCAACGCCATGAGCCCAGGCGCAGTTTTAAGCACAGAACTGGTCCCTTCTCTAACTCCAGGGCGGTGCAGGTGGAGGCTGCATCTTCCAGCACGGAGGTGGGCAGATGTTTCTCCAAAGCTCCCTCCTGCGCTCCATCACCTCTGTCGCCACAGGCTTAACTCTGCTCTGCACACACATTACAATTACTTAAGGCTACCTGTGTCTTTTAAAGACAAATCTCCACCAAGGGCTGATGCTTTCACCCAGCTGCGGTTTTATTAGCCCAAAACTGCTCTCTGGCCCAGCTCCCACACAGAAGGGCACTCTGTGAGACTGATGCTCTCCACTCGTCACCGCTTCATCTCCCRCTTGCAGGTGACCCGGCACCTTTCAGGCTTAGCCCAGCCAAGCGGCAGAGTGCCTCGCAGCCACGAGCGTGCAACACAGCGGGGCAGTTCCTGCGTGTTCTCCAAGGCGGACTCTTCCTCCCGGACTCCCGGGAAGCTGGCAGTGCCCGCAGCGTGGCGGGAAGGCGCTAACGGCAAGGGAAGCACCAGATATTAAAGCCCTTCCTCGCCTCGCTGCCACCGCGGCGGCGCGGCCCGATCCGCCCCCGGGGCTCCGCGCCCGCCTCCCCGGCCGCGCTCGGGACGGGGCAGCCGCGGACCCATCTCCACCCCCCCAYACACCAAAATAAATAAATATATATACGGATAAAACGTGATCTGCTTGGGGGGAAGCGCGATGCCAACCGCTCTACCCGCCGCTCGGGGCGGATTCAGCCGCGGGCGGGCGGCACTTACTGAAGAAGATGTACTCGGTGTAGCTGCTCCAGACCTTGTCCTCGCGGTACTGGTTGATGAAGGCGGCCGTGCCGGTGGAGTTGCAAGCCACCATGTGGAAGCCCGCCTCGGAGAGGCGGTCGAAGGCTTGCTCCAGGTACGTGAACTTGAGGTAGAAGCGCGACGTGTACTTCTCGGGGGGGCGGTCGGGGTCGCGGCTCTCGTTGAGCGTCTCGCCGAAGACCTCCTTGGCCAGGGCGATGCGGCCGCACACCATGATGCGGGCGACGCGGCGGAACTTGGCGTCCGCCTGGTTGTCGCGCACCGTGGTGTAGGAGCCGCGGTAGCCCACGGTGAGGAAGCCCGAGCGCTTGTCCAGCGCCGCGCGCTCGCCGCTGCCCTGCGACGCGCTGTCCTCCAGGTCGCTCTGGCAGCCCTCGTCGTTGAGCGAGCCCTGCTTGGAGACCTTGGGCGACAGCAGCTTGACCAGGTCGCCCAGCTGGAAGTACTCGGCCTCGCGCAGGAGCCGCTCCTTCTCCGGGAAGTGCTCGGGCAGCGCCAGCTGCTTGTCCCGCAGGTAATCCAGCACGTACCTGAAGAGGAAGCCGTCGCGGTCGATGAAGAAGCGCGCCCGGCTGTCCCTGGGCAGCTGGCGGGCGGCGGCGGGGCCGCCCCGGCACGGCGAGAACATGGTGGCCAGCGTGCTGTCCGGCACGCTGAGCAGCGTCGCGTGCCTCGTCACGTACACCTGGCCGCCCACGTTGAGCTCCACCACCTCGGGGAACGGCGAGACCGACGGCGCCGACACCATGTCGCTGATGGGCAGGATGCCGCCGCCCGCCTCCTTCAAAGCCATGGCTGCGAGCGGGCGGCCGCGAAGGAGGGTCTCCCTCCTAAAAAAGACGGCCTCCCTCCCTCCCCCCGTCCCCTCCACCCACCGCCTCGCCTCCTCCTTCCCCCGCCGCGCCCGGAAGCGCCTGGACGGAGCTGCCGCCGCCGCCACGGGACGGGGCGGCCGCCGCCCG